GGTGGGGACTCCCAGGCAAGACAACAGGTTTTGGGGTAATGTTTACACAACTATCATTTTAATGACTAATAATCCACAGGAAATGTCTCCTCACCATTTCTCATGACCACAGGCATTCTTTGTATGGTTTTCCTTGAGTGAATTGAATGTACTGGTGGCAATTTGAAGGGCTGAGATAGAGGCCCTGAGTTAATTCCCAGCATTGAGGGAGAAAAAAGAAAATAGTCATGAATATTAGGAATTATGCATGGAAGGACCTGGAACACTTGATAGTGTCTCTGAGACCTTAGCATGTGCAGAACCCCAGGTCTAACCATGCCTCTGCTAGATTACCACATATGTTCCATGTGGGATGCAAGGCTGGGCCTTTTCTATGTCTCCTGCTAGTGAATGAGGCTGAAGATAAACAAGATATCTTCAGTAGTTTGAGTAAGTATGGCTCCTATAGGCTGATATATTTGAATGTCTAGTCACTACAGTGATGCTATTTGAAAGGATTAGAAGGATTAAGAAGTGTGGCCTTGTTGGAGGAAATGTGTCATTTGGGATAGGCTTTGAGTTTTCAGAAGCCTGTGCCAAGCGAAGAGCCTATTTGCCTACGAATCAGGACACAGCTTTCAGCTACTCCTCCACTGCCTGCCTGTATGCTGCCATGCTCTCTACCATAATGATAAGGTACTAAATCTTTGAAACTGTAAGCAAACACCCAATTAAATGCCTCCTCTTATAACAGTTGCCTTGGTCCTGGTGTCTACCATAATAGAACAGTGACTAGGTATAGTATACAACCACAAAGGCCAGAAGAAATTTACATGATTGGCTGACCACATGCTGTAAATCACCACAACAAAGACAAAAATGAAGTAGATCTAGGCCAGACAAACTGACTCAGCAAATAAAGAAGCTTGCCCCCAATCCTGAAGACCTGAGTTCGATCCACAGGACCCATATGGCAGGAGAAAACTGACTCCACAGATGTGATGAGGTATGCAGGAGCACACACACACACATAATACATACATACACACATACATACACACTAAAAAAAAGAAAGGAAGGAAGGAAAAGAAAAGAAGGAAGGAAGGAAGGAAAAGAAAAGAAAAGAAAGGAGGAAGGAAGGAAGTAGATCCAGGGACAATTACTTGGAAAATATGTCAGAATGTACTGTAAAATTATAGGGGAAAGGCAAGTCATAAGAGCAATTAATAAGTGTAGACTCATTTTTATTTATTAAGTCCTGGGGAAGGCCTGAAAGATACGCCAGGCTGTAGGTAGGATCTACCTATGCCTGTAGGAATGCAGAGGAAATGAGCTCCTGCCTCAGGAGCTCATGCAAGCTCTAACTGGGAGGGACGCTGCAGGGATTCCCACCCGGTCATGACCTTGTAGGCTGCGCAGTGTGTGAGGGGCTGTGAGGAACAGTGGACAGAGTGCATCCCAAGGGAAAGGGTTAAGTATCCCGCGCTTCTGTGGGCGGGCTCGACGATGAAATCGGCAGCGCCGGGCTCTGCTGGCCGAGCCTGAGCATCACCGAGGATGCGGCGCCGGGAGAGGCTGCAGGGACGCGTGCAAGGTGAACACAGGGCTGCGGGTGCAGCGCACAGGTGAGGAGCTGGCCGAGGGAGGGGACGATGGCAGGATCCAGGAAAGTGAGGAGCAAGGCCTACAGCCCCTTCGCGGGCATAGGCGGCCAGGCCTGCATGGTACCTACCCCCACCAGGGACACTGCGGGAAGGCGTGGAGCCAGGGTGAACGGAGCTGGAGGAGGAAGAGAGGTAACCCGAGATGGACCAGCTCCTGCAGACTGTCCTGCGGAGGCCCTCACCCTGCTTCCCCTCCCCCCTCCTTTCTCACCTACTCTCTGCGGATGATTGATCTCACCTCCCCTCAGACCTGTCCAGCTATGGGACCCCCAACGCTGGGCGAGTTCCTGCCTGGACTGCAGGTGCCTGCCTACATCGCTTGCATCGGGGGTGGTAGGCAGATGGCATGTTATTCACTGAAGGCCCAGCTCAGACATCTCTGCAAAGCTTACAGTGCTCCTGTGCAAGATGAGCCCTGTGAGCTTCAGTATCTCTAATACATGTGCTCAGTTGACTGTGCGACCTTGGGCAAGTTGTGCAGCCTCTCTGACTCTTGGTTGCCCCCTTTGCTTTCCTGTCTAATGGGTACTTTTACCTTGTATGGGAAGTGCTTGTATGGGTACTTGGGTTTAGAACAGGAGCCTACCCGAGCAAACAGCTCAACACTGAGCATTATTCTCAACCTATACCCACCTCGAAGGCCCCAAGTCCTCCCTTATCACACTCCAGTCCCAGCCTCGGAACTGAGAACTTTATGGGTCCCCAGCTCCCAGCCTGAGCCATGAGTAGAACATGGGGCTTATTAGATGATTGACAGAGACCTTATCGGGGCTAGAAAAATGGCTCAGTGGTTAAGAGAGACCTTACCAAGGCTTAAAGGCAGTTTGAATCAAAGCTGGGGCTGGACCCAAGAGGTCCACGAATCCCCTGAAACTGCCCACAACCTCTGATGGTCCTGGGGCACTCCTAGGAAGGGTATCTGGAGTTACCAACTGGCTTCTCCAAGCGTTTGAGCCACCAAAGGTGGCTGTATCCAAGAGAAAAGGAATACAGCATCTGCCCCTAACACAGCTGGCCCTCAGCTGGCTGGCCACTGCTGGCCCCTCCTACCTCCCTGGCCTACTTAAGGATGGACTCAGGAACAGGGACACTGTAGGAACATCTACCTGGGCTGGTGCTGTGCAGGGGCTGGAGATGTGAAATGAAAGAGACCGGAGCCCAGGCCAGTGGCAAACAGATGATATACAGGGAGTGTTGTCCTTGGGGTAGGGAGAGCCAGGAATAGACAGCTTCCCTGGTGAGCAGTGTCTATGCCCAAGCAAGCTACCTTCCTGTCTTCCCTGGGCCTGAGTGAAATAACAAAAACAAACAAACAAAAAACCCCTCAGCCCTCATCATATCCAAGCTTCCCAATCCTTGTGATGATCTACAAGAGCCCTTGCAGTCCAGCGCCTGCCTGCTGACCAACAACCACCCGGGAGGATTGTATGTCCTGAGTTCACCAAGCTCACTCCTGCCCTATAGCCCTTGCATATGCTGCTCCTTTGCCTAATGCTTTTCCTTCAGATCTTCAGGTACTTGGCTCTATCTTACCATTCAGCATTTAGCTAAAGTGTAACCTCAGAGAGACTCTCCTGTCACACCCGGTGGAGACTCCTCCTTCTATCATCTAATCCCATCTCTTTTTTCTTTTAAGGCTAAATTTTCTTTTATAGATTCTCACTATGTAGCTCTAGCTGGCCTGCAACTTGCTATGTAGACCATGCTAACTTTGAACTCTATTTCTGCCTCAAAAGCCAAACTTTAATATTTTAAAAATTGTATGTATTGAAAAAAATTGTATGTATTTTGTGTGTGTGTATGTGTGTGTGTGTGTGTGTAAGCATATGTGAAGATCAGAAAACAATCCAAAGGAATCCATTTTCTCTTGCCACCATGTGTGTCCTGATCAAGGATCGAACTTGGGTCAAGACTTGGCAGCAAGCACCTTTATCCATTGAGCCATCTCATTGGCCGTTAACTTTGAAATCAGTTTTTGTTCATCTTATCTAGATATCTCTCCACATTGGGGAGGGAGCAATCTTTTCAGTCTGGTTAACTGTTTTATCCCCAGGGTCTGTTCAGTTTATTTGTTGAACTAGTGGAGGGAGAACGGGGAAGGAAGCTTTCTAGGCAAAGGTTAAGGAGATAGGGCCCTACTATCAGGTTCCTACTGTGGGTCTGACCCGCATGTGTCTCATTATTTATGCTTCATATGAATTCCCCTGAGGTAGATGATCTTGTTAGCTTCATTTACAGAGAAGAAAACCACATACCGGAGAAACAAAGTAACTCACACAGGAGACTCCATGCCGGGATTCCAACTCAGGTCCCTCCTCAAATGCAGAGATGGGCCTAGATAAGTCTAATTTCAGGGTAGGCAAGAAGGCTCAGCAGGTAGAGACTTGCTGCCAAGCCACCTGAGTTTGATCCCTGGGACCAGTGTGGAAGGAGAGAACTGACTTCCATAAGTTGCCCTGCTCTCCACAGACTTGCTGTGGCAGATATTCCCCCTTCATTAAACGCATACATGTAATTAAAAAACAAAACACTAAAACCTGAGCCAGGCCGTGGTGGCGCACACCTTTAATCACAGCATTTGGGAGGCAGAAGCAGGCAGATGTATGGATTCGAGGTCAGCTTGGTTTACAGAAGGAGTTCCAGGACAGGCTCCAAAGCAACAGAGAAACTCTGCCTCAAAAAACAAAACAAAATTAAAACCTGATTTCAGGGACTAGAGAGATGGCTTAGCCAGTCAGAGCAAGTAGTGCGGGTGGTTCAGGGTTCCCAGCACCGAGGTGCTGGTTCACAGGTGCCTCGAACTCAGCTCCTAACAACCCAAGTCTCTCTGGCTTTCACAGGCACCTCACTTAACATACCCAGCCATCCCCATCAAATTGTACATATGTATTTTAAAGAAACATTTAAAAGGCTGGGCCTTGTGACACACATCTTTAATCCCTGCACTCAGAAGGCAGAAGCAAGTAGAGCTATGAGTTCAAGGCCAGCCTGTTCTACATAGTGAGTTCCAGGTCAGCCAGGGTTATATAGGCCCTGCCTCAAAAAATGAAATTTCAAAGAAAAACTTCAATTTCATCAGGTAAAGGTGAAGGCATTCCATCCTGAAGGAGCAGAACCAGAGACCTGAGTGTCAAGATGGCCCACTGAGTGCTGGACAGTGACTGAGCCACCTGGCCTGGCCTCAGCCTTGGAAGGCCAGGCATAGAACTCGTATTCTCTTCCAAGAGCAACGGGGAGTCAGAAAGTTTTGACAGCAAAACAAGTGCTGTGAGCAGAGACCCAGTTTTTAAAAAACTTTAAGAGCAGGGATGACTTCTCTTATTTCCCACCGACCCCTTGGGGGTCCCTCCATCCCTCTTTGATTTATCTTTTCTCTCTCCCCTTTTGTAGGCTTATCCTCTGAGGTCTAGAAGTCAAGGGCTCTACACTCAAATTAAACCATGGCCCCTAGCTCACGAGGCTCTGTGTGTCCTTTCCTTCTGCTGTTGCTGTTGCCATGCTTGGGGGCTGGCCCTGCCTTGGGCAGAAGCCTTCCCAGGCCACTGGAGGATGCAGAACCCCACTTGATCCCATCAGAGCCACAGACCTTTGGCCTCTTCTGGGAGAAGTTAAGAAATGAGAGTTCCTGGCATGGTGGCATTCCCCAGGCCCCTGCTGATAGCCCTGAGAGGCCTGCAAACTCTCCCCTAGGACCAGCTCTGCCTGGACCCAAAGCAGCCCCCGGGGGCCAGGGTGAAAGACTCCTAATAGCTGATGACCTCCAGCTGGCCCGAGGGCTTACTTCCCAAGGCTGGACAGGACCTCCTGGCTCACAGGAACTTCCAGAGCCAGAAACACCAGCTCCACAGCCAGTGGGTGCACCCCATCTCACTTTGATCAATACAACTCCCAGTCCTCAACTCAGGATAGCCACTCTTACCACTGCCCCACGAAAGCCTGGAGGCCAAGCAGAACAACGGCCAGCTAGGAATGAGGGTCGAATGGCCAAAGCCAAGAACCCCATCACACAGGCTTCCCCCTGGGACTACCAGGGTTCTCCCCACACTCTGGTACCGGAGACAGGTGCTGTGAGGCTAGTGCTGGGAAATCAGAGTGGGCATGAAGAGGGCTTGCAGGAGGCTGCCCAGGGCCCCCTACTCACCCAGCACGAGCCAGTAGTCCCTGAGGTTGGCTCAACATCCCCAATTGAGGTGGCATCCACTCAGGAGCCTGGAGCCCAGCTAGACCTGGCATTGGCCAGAAGCCTCCCTCTTCCAGAGGGGCTGCCAGCTGAGCTCCCCCAAAAAGCTGGAGCCGGAGACACCTGGGAAGTCAGCTCTCTGGGACCCCAGCCTGAGCAGACTGACCTCCTTGCTGGACAAGACTTCCCAGCACCTCAGCCTCTATCACCTTCAGCCTCAGACACTTCTGATGGGCAGCTAAGACCAGGTAGGTATTACCATGAGGGGGCTGAGTGGGGTTGTGAGGACCAAAAATCCAAGGTAGCTAGGTGTAACTCTGGTTATCATTTCCCTCCTGACAAATTAGGGCGGTGGTGTCCCCCTTCCTGAGGGACTGCATTGGGGGGGATTCTGGAGAGTCAGACAAGGTGGTAATTATTCTCACCATTTCAGCAATAGCCTCGATGAACGGAGCAGACCCTATCTCCCCACAGCGAGTCCGAGGGGCAATGGAGGCTCCAGGAACCCCCAGGTCCTTCATCCCTGATCTCCCAAACTCTGCTCAAGCTGCAAATGGAACAGAGAGTCCCATGAGAGGCCTACAGCCAGGTGAGGCCATGGCTAGGGGTGAGGGGACAGTAACTAAGAACTGTGCTTGCTTAGTGATGGGACAGAGGGGCCAGGGCGCTAGGACCTTCTCTGAGTGGCTGAGAAAAATAAACCAATGCTCACTGGAGACTCCAGAAGACACTGGCTCTTCTGAGCTAGAATGTTCTTCTGTGCAACACACATGTACCTTGTGCAGTCATTCTCCGTCCCCCCCCCAGCCCCACCCCAGCACTCTGGATGCTGAGACAAGGGGATCACAAGTCTGAGATTGATTTCAAGGCTCAGTGAGACTGTTTCAAAATCAAAACATGCAAAAGGCTTGGAGATGCAGCTTAGGGATAGAGTTATTGCCTGGTATAAGAAAGGTCTTGGGTGCAATTCCCAGACCCACGAAAGGAAGGAAGAAAGAAAGTTTATATCTGTCTTGTCTTTGCTAGCCAGTGGGAACCAAACTAGACATTGTGCCCTTGTCATGACCCAATGACTGTGGCAGGTACTATTATCTTCATTTGACAGATGTCCTTGGAAAATTAATTTACTAACTGCAGTTTTGAATATGGAAAAATCGAAAGCACTCTGTGTCTGTTTGGGGTTTTGTTATTTGCTGTTTGTTTGTTTGTTTGTTTCTTGTTTGTTTGAGATGGGGGTCTCAAGCAGCCTCAACTGTTCTTGAACTCACTGTGTAGATGAAGATGGCCTTAAAGTCTTGATCCTCCTGTCTCTGCCTCCTATTACAAGCGTGAACCTCCACACTCCGCTCTCAACAACACTTCCCAAAGAACCCTTTTAATATTGTTATTATTGCAGATGAAGCCGAGGAATGGCCGGGTCGCCCACAAAGCCACCCTCCAGCACCCCCTGTCCAGGCCCCCTCAACAACTCGGCGTGGTCTTGTTAGAGTCACTACACAGAGAGCTCTGGGCCAACCACCCCCTCCGGAGCCCTCAGCCAGCTCCATAATTCCAGCTCCAGCTTCTAGCCCCCCAGCCAATGCCACTGCACCCCCGCTGCGTTGGGGACCTCTGAGGCGGGTGCTGAGTTTTTCCTGGGAACTTCATGTCTATGGGGTGGGGGTGCTTTTCCTGCTTCCGGCATTATTGGCATTAGTCACACTGGCAGCCGCCCTAGCGGGACCCCGATTGGCATTAGTGGCTGCTGTGCTAGTGTTGGTGGCTTCAGGGCTGAGATCTGCCTACATGCTCACCGATCCTTATGGCTCTCAGGCAAGGCTGGGAGTACGTGCTGGCCTGGTGCTATACAACCTGCCCTTCCCCTTGCTACTCACTGCACTGGCAGCACTCACCCTGCTGGGCCTGGGTGCTGGGCTGCCACAGCCTCTGCAGAATCCACTCCTACTGGGAGCCGTGGCGCCGGTGCATGCTGTAGGTTTGTTGGCCACAGACCTGTTCTCCACCAGGCCTGTGCTTAACCTCTTGACACAAGGCTTATCTTGCGCCTGGGGCGCTTCGGTGGCCCTGGGCACACTCTGCCTATGTCGTCGCCGCCTGCTGGAAGGCCCTCGGGGCTGGGATACCAGTCCAGGCCCACGGCTGCTGGCTGTGGCAGGCTCACTGGGGCTGCTGGCCAGTGGTCTGCAGTTAGCAGCCTCGCTCTGGCTATATCCAGGGCCTGGCCGGGAGGGTCGCTTCTCCTGGGCCTGGTGGGGTGTGCACTTCTGGTTGCGTCTGCTGGAGCTGACCTGGGCACTGGCCCTGGCGTTGGCCGCCCTGGCTGCCACACGTCCCAGGCCGCCCACGGAACATGCTTGCTGGGCTAAGCTGCTACGCCTGGCGTGTCCCGCGCCCACGGGCAAGAGCGAGGTGCCCGAGAGACCAAATAACTGTTATGCAGGGTCCAGTGGCCTGGCCACAGGAGGCCTGGATATCAGCAAAAGCCTCATTCGCAACGCTGCGGAAGGTGGGCTTCCAGCCACGCCTGGTTCTGGACCCTGGGGTTCGGCTGCATCACTGGGTCGCGGTCGCCCAGGTGGCCCGAGGATGTCCCGTGGCAGCGTGGGGCCTGCGCCGTCGCTGAGTGAGTTGGATCTGCGGCCACCCTCGCCCATCAACTTGAGCCGCAGCATCGATGCCGCGCTCTTCAGGGAGCACCTGGTCCGAGACAGCGTGTTCCACCGCTGTGGCCTCCGTGGCCTGACCTCGCCGTCGCTAGGGGGCGCCTTGCGACCTCGCCGCGGCAGCCAGCCGGACACTGAGCTCGAGGGCGCTGTTGGCTCGCTGCTCCGAGCCCGCTGCCGCTCGCTCAGTGAGGTGTGTTTGCGCAAGCCCCTCCCACAGCACGTGGTGGACCCGCCCGTCAGTGCCGCAGCTGCGGGGACTTCGGGCAGCTCCCTGGACAGCTTCTCCAAGGGCTCGCTGAAGATCAGCTGGAACCCGTGGCGTCACGGGCTGTCGTCCGTGGACAGCTTGCCCCTAGATGAGCTGCCCAGCACGGTGCAGCTGCTGCCAGCACCAACCCCAGCCCCTGCTCCTGCCCGGGCCGGGGAGCCTCAGAGCGAAAGCCAGCAGCGCTGCAAGACCAGCGAATCTCACAGCGCCTCCAGTGACACTATAGAGCTCTGAGGACTTGGACCCTCCCTTCAAGGTCCACATGAAGCTGCAGAGACAAGACAGTTGAGCATTTGAAAAATCGGCCTCCACCTGACTGCAGCTTCCGGGGAAAGACAGGCTTGAATTCACCAGACTCGTGTTTTGTTTTTTATTTGTTTGTTTTTAAATATTTCTATTTTTATTTCAGCAGATATTTTGCACAGAGGCCGTGAGTTACACGGAATACAGGGTGGACGTGCATGGTTTGATCATGGGGAACAGGGACTAGTTACTCCTGATTCCCCAATGTGGAGAGATGCACCTCACTTGTCCAGATTGACTGTCCTCTTTGTGCCAAAGAAATAAACCCTTCAGATTAGGCTCATGCCTCCCGCTGGTCAAGCCGGGATCCTACACCTCTATAGGAGAGACAGGAAGCCCTTCACAGGAACAAAGAGCCTTCCTGAGGAAGGTTGCCTCTGGCTTTAGTAGGAACAGCCACCACTATCTCACTAAAAACCTGTCACTGTGCAGTCCCTCCTCCTGTAATCCCCACCACAGGCCTAATCAGAAAGCATTCTGCCCACTTCAGAAATGAGAAGGTGGAGTTTGGAGGTGTCCTGTATTACTTGGGCCCTACAACCACAATTCATATTCAATCCAGAAAGATCAATTCCTAAGTTGGTTCCTTTCTCATCTTTCTCCTTCCTTTCTCGGCTTAAGGTTTTTATTTTTTTAATTTAAAAAAATCCATAGTTATTTCATATGAATGAATGTTTTGACTACATGTGTATATGCACCACGTGTGTGCCGGGTACCCGCCCCAGGTCAGAAGAGTGAGTCCCATCCCTTGGAACTGGAGGATGAATGGTTGAGAGCCACCACATGGGTGCTGGGAATTGAACCTGGATCCTCCACAAGGGCAACAAGTGCTCTTAACAACTGACCCATCTCTCTAGCCCCTTCACAGCACTTCTCTGTCATGGCAACTCTCAATTTCCCAGGGTTATGGAAAATGTCTCTGAGGTAGCAGTGATGAAGCTTTTCCAGTTTTCAAGACCTTCCTTTATTTCCTGAGATGAATAAATAAGTCAATGGCTGGGGTGTGGGAGGAGAATACGCAACAGGAGCTGGCAGCATGCACCTGGCGGGGATGGCAACGGTGGCCCCACCCCTGAGGGGACACCTCTCTTACTGGGCAGGGCCCAAAGCCTGCAACCTCCCTAAGGAGAAACTGTCTTTTGAAATTCACACACTGTAATGCCTGTCAGTCTCCAAGGCAAGGTTCTCCTGGCAACTGCTTCCAGCTTTTTTTCCACCCCTGAGGCTACTGGGGTCCTGGGCTGCTGGGTAAGGCAGGTAAAAGGCTGTTTACCCCAGTCTCAGAGAGGAACCACGCTGCCCCAGGTGTCCAGCAGGAGAGAAACATGACCTCTGGGGGCATCCTGGGTGGGAGGACATCCCCTAAGTGTGGCAGGGATTATCTACCCTTGATGAAGCCCTCCAGTACACGGTCACTCCGCTCTGACAACCAGTACCCGGTCATGGCTGCCACGGCTCCAATGAAGATGGCAGTGAACACCAGGTCACCTTTAGCAGCAAGCGTGGCCAGTGCACAGATGATGACACCAAAGAACATCTGCTGCAGGACCACCAGCTCATCCTCCGTCATCTCCGAGAAGAAGCCCGCCGGCTCTGCAGAGGAGGTGTGACATGTCACTGCCTCATTTCTGGCAGTTCCCAGAGCTGCCCACAACACCCACAGACCTCATCATTGCTGCGCAGCCCCCCTAGCTCACCAAGAACACAGCATCATTCATTCGCTATTTAGAAAGCCTCTGCAGGGGAAGCTGAGACCCTGCCACCCCAAGCTGAGAGGTGACAGGGCTGCCCAAGGCTCGCAGAAGACTGCTCCCATCAGACAGGAGAAAACAGGTTTAGGAAGGCAGAGTGTTTGGGTGCCAAATCTGGTTCCCTTTCTACCTGGGACATGAGGAAATGCAGCCTCAAGGCCAACCTTGAGAACAGACACGGGGACCAGGTCTCAGTGCAGCCCCTTTGGGTGGTGGTGAAGTGGGGCCTGGAGGAGGAGCTTGTCTGCTCTATCTCTGGACCAGCCCAGCCCAGCCTCCCACCCGCCCTGCTTACCTGGGATCTTCTCCTTCATGCAGACACCCTCCTCCTGTCTGTAGCCCTGAGCACAGACACAGCGGTAGCTACCCTCCGTGTTCTCACACTGCTCATTCTCTCCTGGACACACCACTGTCTCACACTCATCCACATCTGAGGGGAGGAGAGGAAGGGGTCAGAGTGCTGGCTGCCATGACTCAGCATCCCAGACTGCATTTCACTCCCATCCAGACTCAATGTGGAATCCCTACTTCCCTTGCTTCTTCCACACTCCAGCCCCCCCTGGTATGAGACTCACCTAGGCACTTGGAGCCCACCTGCTGGTAGCCACGGCTGCATTTTTTGCAGCGACCAGGCCCTGCTCCCATACAGCCCAGGCAGGCCTTTGCACAATCTGAAGAAGAGAGGGCAGAGGTGAGAGGTGAGGAGAAAGAGGTGATCTCAAGGAGAGGAGGGCTCTGGACCCTGAGAAGCTAGAAGTCTGGAGGAACAAGCATGAAGCGGCATCTCCTGTTCCTCTCCTCCGTCCCAGCCTGTCCCTTCAGCAGCAAACACTGACCTCGGCACTCATAGGAGCCTTCTGTGTTCACACAGAACTGGTCAGCTCCACAGGTGGCTTGCTCTGTCCCACACTCATCGATGTCTGTGGAGAGGGTAAAGATTGGGAGTGTCACTTTGCAGGAATAGCAGAGAAACTAGGGGAGGATTGTCAGGAGTGAACTTGCCTGTGATCACGAGTGTGGGAATGACTGCAAGCCTGCTACCAACCCTGAAGTAATCATGGAGCTAGACTAGCGTTGCTCAGGCAGACTGGAGTCTGTCTGCCCTGCAGCTAAACACAACCCTCGAATGGGGATTTTTAACTTAGCTCCAAGACAATCAGCCCCTTCTCACTTCCTGAGTGCTGAGACATGAAGCAGGAGGTAGCCACGACTCAGCATCATCCATGTAGCTTATATCCAAGGGGATGACCACAGATAGAGAGACTGAACTCCAGTGTTTAGTTTGTCAACAAACACCTTTAACTGCTGAGTCAACTCACTGCTGAGCCCACTCTAGATTTTTGTTGTTTTGTGTAAGATTTGGTTTGCTAGGCAAGGTAGCACATGCCTTTAATCCCAGCACTCAGGAGTTAGAGAGGCAAGTAGATCTCTCAGTTCTAGACCAGCCTGGTCTATAAAGCAAGTTCCAGGACAGCCAGAGCTATACATAGAAACCCTGTCTCAAAAAACCAGAGGCTGGGAAAAGACTTGGCTAAAGAAGCACCTCTTCCAAGAGGGCCTTCCTGATCCATCACTGTCCTGCTGAGCTGGGTCTGGACATGCATCTACTGTGTGCAGGTTGTTCTGCACTGTGAACACCTGGCTTGCTGCCTTTCCCGCCAGGCTGAGGGTTTCATGTGATTGGATGGTACTGGTATAGGCCAGAGAGTAAAGTCCAGGCCCCACCAGTGTTCCCCACTTACCCACACACTTGAGATGATGCAGGGCCCAACCTTTCTTGCACTGCAGACAGTGGGATTCCTCGGGTCCTGTGCAGCGGGCACAGGGACCAAAACATGCTGGGTAAAGAACAGACAGTATGAGGATGGGCAGGCAGGCACCTCAGCTACCCTTGCCCCCAGCACACCTTTTGGCTACCTACCCGAACATACCAGATGGCTGCTATTGCGCTCCGCCTCAAAGTAGCCGAGGCCACACTGGCCACAGGCCTCGCCCCCATAGCCGACTTGGCAATCACAGTGCCCGCTGCCCCCTCGAGTCCCTTCCCCTTCACATTGCCCGTAGCCACCGCAGGGCCTCTCTGTGCCCCCAGGACATGCTGTGGGCAGACATAAATTGGGTGAGATCTTATATGCAACCTCATCATCCAAGGGAAGCCTTTTCTACATTGTCCTGAATATTTTTTGGAAAGGAAAATTAAATTTAATACTCACAAATTCTGTCATAAGCTATTTGAACCAAAAAAGATATGCAAAACAACTGGGCACAGCTTCTCATTTATTTTTATTTACCGACTTTTTCTTTTTCTTTTTGAGAGAAGGTCTCACTTATGTAGCCCTAGCTGGTCTGGTACTCACTATATAGACCAGGCTGGCCTCAAACTCATTATCCTTCACATACACATACACACAGAACATTTGTTTTTTGCTTGTGTTTGAGATGGACTCTTCAGGAAGTCCAGATAATTTATCTGAATAGACTTAAAATACCCTCCTGTCTCAGCCTCTTAAGTACTAACTAGCATAACAGGCATGCATCACCACATCTGATGAGTCTTCTAGAGACTGAACTGATCATTCCAGCACCTAACCCTTTTCCTCGTTTACAGAAGTAGTTCTAAAAAGGGCTAGGAGACTGACATGATGTCATGTGCCTGCAATTCCAGCACCGGGAGGCTCAGACAGGATCATTACAAGTTCAAAGCCTGGGCTCACAGATGAAACCCTGTCACTTCAAACAAAAACAAAACCAGTAATAAATAAGTTAATTAACCCAGGACTGTAGTTTGCTCAGCTCCTGCCTTGGATCTGTAGAGGTGGACAGACATCGATAATGGGGGCTTCATAGCATGTGCCTGCCCCTGCCCAGGTACTGTCTGACCAGACATGAGAATGGAGGAGGCAGGATGGGGCAACGTTTGTTTAACGCCCCATAACAGCCACATTGCACAAGCCCAGCCCTGTGCTTTTCCCCCCAGCCTGACCCACTGATTTGTTATTTCAGGCCCGAGAGACAGGCCAGAGCACGGAGCTGGAGATGTTACATGAGGAAGCCTGCTCTCACACAGCCCAGTTTGCTCCCTTGCCTCGGCAGTCTCCTCCCACTCCCGAAGAGGACCACAAAAGACTCAGAGAGACTCACGAAGGCAGGAGGGCCCAAAAGTGCCAGAGGGGCAGCAGAGCTTCAGGGAGTCGGAACAGAGCCACTGGAAGAGGTCTGGAGCCTCTTGCTGCCTAAGGCAGGGTAGATGAGGTAAAAGCAAGAGGGTGAGTCAGAGTGGCCACCTCCTCCTACTGAGTCTGTAAGTCAACACAACTTGGCATGTGTCCTGAAACCACTTGACCAAGGTCCCTTTCCCACTTGGTAGAGGGGTAAGTAGGCCCAGAAAGGGGGCCTGGTACCCACAGCCAACTCCTCAGATCTAGGTTTGGAAGGCTCCAAACTAGGCTGGCAGGCAACTGTTTCTAGGCAGTCAAACCCATACCACCAGGCCTGCCTGTAACCCACTCCCAGCGAAGGCCTCCCCTTCTGCCTGTCACCCGTGAAACCAGCAGGGCCACCCGTGGGAAGCCTGCCCCCCTCCTGCTTCTCACCTGTGAAACCACCAGGCCTCCACCAGCTCCTCACTGAGCTCCAGCAGACGATGGCACTCGAAGTCTGACTTGCTGCACACACCCTCCAGCACCTCCACCAGGCGGGTTTCACTGAGCAGACAGGACTGGGGTGTTATGAACATACTCCACCCCACCCACCTGCTCCTCAGGTCTCTCTCCTCCTTCCCTCACACTGGGACAATATCAAGGAAGGGGCCACGGGCATTAACAACGGAAGGGTGACTGGCTCTGGGGACTCAGTCAGACTCAGAAGCTAGATGTGAGATCTGGACAAGCCATTACAAGTCATTAAGCCTCTCTTGTTCTTGTTTCTCAGCTTTTGCCTCAGTTTTAATCAGGGTCTCACTATGTCATCCAGCATGGTCTAGAACCCTCCTGCCTATGTCCCACCAACATGTTGGACACCTTTCTTCTTTTTTCATCTGTCAAACAGAAATAATAACACCTCTGCAGGTGACTTTCCAAATCTGACCTGGGATAGCCATGCAGGAGAGAGAGGCCTGAAATTTCTTCATGAGGCTGGGAGGGGTAGCTCAGAGGCAGGGAGAGGACCCCCGACCCCTCCTGCAAATATATGCTCTACCAAGCACTGGTGAGGGTGTAGAAAAACTGGACCCTTCTGCCCTGTATGTGGGGATGTAAGATGGTACAATCAGTTAAATGGAGCCACTATGACTCAGCAATCTTCTCCCAGATACACACCGAAAAGACTGGAAAACAGGCATTCAAATACAAACTTGTACACATATGCTCACAGCCACAACACGCATAATGGGCAAAAGGTAAGCAAAACCCAACTGCCTATTCACCAATGAAAGAAAATGCAGTGTGTCCATCCAACGGGATATTATTCTGCCCTAAGAGGAATGAAGCACTGAGCTGAACAATTAATGCAATGAGGTTGAGCTATAGAAACATCACACTAGGTGAAAGGAGCCAGACACATGATGTAGGACTTCAAAGAAATCAGAAAATCCATCCAGGTTTCTGCATGAGCTTGGGGGAATGAAAAGATGAGGAAGTGCTACTTAATGGGTATAGTAAGATTTCTTTATGGGTGACGAATATATTTTAAAGCCAAATCTGGCCAGGCGTGGGTGGTGCACACCTTTGATCCCAGCCCTCTGGAGGATCTCTGTGAGTTTGAGGCCAGCCTGGTCTACAGAGCTAGTTCTAGCACAGGCTCCAAAGCTATAGAGAAACCCTGTCTCAAAAAAAGCAAAACAAAAAAACAAACAAACAAACAAAAAAAAGCCAAATGTGGTGACATATATCTGTAATCCCAGCACTTGGGAGGCTAAGGCAGGAGTTACTGTGTTAGAGGCCATCCTGAATCATATAAGGAAACTGTCACAACAGAAACAAAATTAAAATGAGAAAATTCTGAAGGTACACAGTTGTAGTTATACAGCAGTGAGAATGTACTGTGTTCCTATTGGTGGCTTTTTTTGTTTTCTTTCCTTTTTTTTTTTTTTTTTATTATTTGGATATGCATTCTAGACTGGCCTTGAACTTGATATGTAGCTGGGTACAACCTTAACCTCCTGTTTCTTCTATGTCCCCACTGCTACAATTACAGACATACACCACAAAGTCAAGTTTTATCAGGGGCAGGGAAGGAACCCAGGGTGCTGTGCATTCGAGACAAGCCAAACACTCTGACAACTTGGCTCCATTCCCACCCTGGTTTTATGTGTATTTTACAATTTTAAAAATTAATATATAAACCAGGTATGGTGGCTCATAACTATAATCCCTACTTGGGAGGCCAGAAGATCAGAAGTTTGAGGTCATCCTCAACTATACGGTAAGCCGGAGGGCTGCCTGGTCTACATGAGATCATATCACAAGACAGAATGTTTTTATTATGTAAAATATGACATGGGACCTGGGACCTAGGGAGATGGCTCCCTCGATAGAGTGATACCCCAACAAGCATGAGAACCTGAGTTTAGGACTCCCAGCACCCATGTAAAGGCCAAGTGTGGCATGGTGTCTATAACCCCAGAATTGGGTGGGGAGGGGTCAAACACAGGCAGCTCCCTGTGTCCAATCTAGCAGAATAACCAAGTTAATGCACTCCAGGTTCAGTGAGAGAACCTGTTTCCAAAAATTAGGTGGGTCAGCCAGACATGGTAGTGCATGCCATTAGCCTCAGCAGAGGGATATCTGATCTCTGAGTTCGAGACCAGCCTGGTCTATAGATCAAGATCCAGAACAGTCATGACTACAGAGAGAAATCCTGTCTGGAAAAATAACAACAACAATAATAACATGGGGCAATGGAGAGGGTTCAGCAGTTAAGTGCACTGGCTGCTCTTCCAAAGGACCCAGGTTCAATTCCTAGTATCCAAATAGTGTCTCACAACTACCTATAACTCCGGTTCAGGAGGGAAGAAACTGGGGGCTACTAAGATGGCTCAAGAGGTAAAGGCACTTGCTATCAATTGCCACCACGACTGAGGATCCAAGTGGTGGAAAGAACTGACTCCTGAAAGATGTGCACATGTATACACACACACACACACACACACACACACACACACACACACACAATAATAAATAAATATAAAAATTTGGAAAGAAGCCAAGTGTGGTAACATACACCTCTAATCCCAGCACTGGTGAGCAGAGGCAGACAAATTTCTTTGAGTTCAAGTTCAGCCATGACTATATAGTGAGACCTGGTATCAAAAGTGAAAAAAAAAAAAAAAAAAGTAGGGCTGGAGAAATGGCTCAGCAGTTAAGAGCTCTAGCTGCTATTCCAGAGAACCCAGGTTCAATTCCCAGCACCCACATGGCAGCTCATAATTGTCTGCAACTCAAGTTCCAGGGAACCCAACACTCTCACACAGATATACATACAGGCAGAACACTAATGCACATAACATAAAAATACATTATTTAAAAAGTGAAAAAAAATATAGAATAGAATAAAACAAAACTTTTTAAAGTAAAAACAAAAGAACCCAGAAGCCATCCATTATAAAGCTACAAATGCTCTTGGTATTATTCCCAAAGGAGGAAACTGAGGGAAAGGAGAATGGCCAGAGTTACAGAAAAACCAAAACCTCCCTTCCTAGTGGGAACCATAATTTAACCCTTCACCACAGTACTAAGAACAGGCAAGGGAACTCTAGAGAAGAGCAACTGTAGCAAGAGTTAAAACAGTAAGAAACAACAAGCAGGCCTAACTCCAACTCTTTGCTGGCCCCTCCTTCCAATGTCACTTTGAAAAGCTGGAGGGCCTCTCAAATTCCTGTTTCTAGCCCTACAGCTCCCCTGAATTCTGGAATGAGATGGAAGCTACCTGGGTGTCCAGAGGCAGTCTTACCACACGACCAGAGGCCCTGCCTGATCCCACTCCTGCCCACGCCCTCTCTGCAGGCTTACTTTCTCAGAAAATACTTGCAAATTATAGGTGTCTCTACCACTTTCTCTCATGCCCCATAAGGAATCCATCATGTCAACTGATGGTCTCCAAAATACGCTTAGATTTCAACTAGCTCTCACTGTACCTACTACTGGATATCTTGCTAGCTCATGCTGCCTTTATACTTTGACTGCAAATGCTTACCCGCCCCACCCAGCTGTTCTCCCCACTCCCTCCAAGCTACCCCGGCTTTTTACCTTAGTGCTCTCTTCATTTAAGATTAGAGGCTGCAAAGATGGCTCGGCAGTTAGGAACATTGGCTGCTCTTACAGAGGAGGACCTGGGTTCAACTCCCAGCATCAACATGTTGGCTCATAACCAACTGGGGCTCACAAATCCCAGTTCCAGAAAATCCAATTCACTCTTCTGGCCTCACATTCAGGACAAAATCTAAACTCCTTCTGCAGCCTTTTGTTCACTCTACTCCAGCCACTTTTGAGAGAAACACAAGGTCAGCCCTGCTACTTTAGCTGAGGTATCTATTCAAACGGACCATCCTGAACACCTGTCACCCGCCTGTGGCATAGCCAAATTTCTGTTCTTCACCTGACAGGTAGTATGTACTGTGTGTCTATCTACTAAAATGCAAATTTCAGCCAGGTGTTGGTGGTGCATGCCTTTAGTCCCCGCACTGGGGAGGCAGAGGCAGGCGGATCTCTGTGAGTTCAAGACCAGCCTGGTCTACAAGAGCTAGTTCCAGGACAGCCACCAAAGCTACAGAGAAACCCTGCCTGGAAGGAAAAAAAAAAAAAAAGTAAAATATAAAATGCAAGTTTCATGAAGATGAGGCTTGGTTTTCTTATTTACTGCTGTTCTGTTAATATTCAGTGTCTGGAGAATGAATGCTTCCCAAAAGAATCTATTCCAACCAATTGGGGTATATACCTCCCCATTACCTTCTTACCTGTCTTTGTATTTGGACAACTTCTCTTCCTCCCAGGCAGTATTTCCACCACCAAAGTTGTCCCGGATGGTTCTCTCCAGGCCCTGGATATGGAAGAAATTAGGAATACCTAAGTACAGGGCTCGACACATTCTGACACATTCTTTTTTTTTTTTTTTTTTTTTTTTTTTTTTTTTTACAGGGCTTCTCTGTGTAGCCCTGGTTGTCCTGAAACTCATTCTGTAGAGAGATTCACCTGCCTCTGCCTTCTGAGTGCTGGGACTAAAAGCATGTGCCACCACGCCCAGCCTGACATTCTAACATTTCACTATTTTATGTTATTGATCAGGAAACTAAGGCACCGTGAATCACCTTTCCCAAAGGCCATACAGTTGAAGCTAGCAATCCATACTGGAATTACAATCCATGCAGATTTGCATTAAGAGCCCCCAGCTCTCTGCTAATGGCCCCTCCCTCGAGACTATTAGTACACCCACCTTGTTGAAGCTGTCCACCAGTGCTCGACAGGTATGACATGGATGGGGCTCAGCTCGGGGAGAAGAATGGGGAGGAGGAGAGGGCTGGAGCCAGACAGGTCCCGGGAGGCTCAGAAACAGACCCAAGCTCCAGAGAAGAGAAGGGACCAGGCCCCTGAGGGGCTGTGGGGCCATGTTTTCCCAGGCTGGGGACTTGCAGATACAGGGGAAGGGGAGGGTTCACTGGCTGTAAGGAGGAAAGCGAGGGCTTGGTTCTGAGTGCCTTGAGGCTAAAATCCTCAGACCTACTAATTACAAACGAGGACTAATTGGGGTACTGGAGGCTGAGGCGCTGGAAGGGGAAAAGAGCCTAATCTACAATTGCAGGAGAGAAATTCTATCTCCGTTACCGTAGGGGAAGGTGGCCGGGATCGCTGGCAAAGGGGTAGGCGTCAGGCCATGGTTTTAGGGTCTCAGTGAGATATTAGGGGCCATAATTAGAAAGGGTCAGATTCCAAATATTCCGAGAGAAAGCCGGATGGGCGGTCCTGGGGGAGGAGCCCGGATCCGGATGTGAAGAGATGGGGTCAAGTTCAGAGCCTCTTTGGAAGAGTGCGGCCTGGAACAGGCCGGGAAGGATCCTAGCCCCGCTAGACTACAAGGAGAAATAAGAGTCCCCACCCCCGCCCCGGGAATTGTGGGCCGAGTCTCCTTAACGCCGCCGCCTCCGTAAGTATACCCTTCTCCAACGCCACAGGCGGGAGGGCGGGGCCTCTTCACAGCCAATGAAGAGCAGCCATGTGCCATTGCGTCACCCCATTCCAACCAACCAGAAGCGGCGCAGGGCTGCACCTGTCCCGGCTTTAAAGGGCCGCAGGGTTGATGGCTCCCCTAGCAGTTCCATAGGACGTACACACGAGTGCTACTCGGTTAGGGTAACTGCGTCGGTCTTTATTTGGGTGCAGGGTAAGGCCCCGGGTCCCAGGCCTCGCCGTAGTCCGCAGTTCCCGATTGCAGGGTGCAGCTGTCCAGGGCGGACTGCAAGGCCTGGGCCACTCGCTCCGCCCTGTCCGCGGGCCGCCCCGGGAGCTGGGCGCAGCCTCCCTGCAGGACGTCCAGGAAGCCCGGCAGCTGCGAGGGCAGGGAAAAGAGCGGCGCAGCGCGGAACGCGGCGGGCACGGCATCGGGGTGCAGCAGCCCGTCGAAGTAGACCCCGACGTAGCGGCCGGCTGCTCGGCCTTGCAGAAAGTCCGGCAGCACGCAGCTGAGCCAGGAGGCGAGGGCGTCATGCGGCCCCGGCTCCACCGTCTGGTGTTGGAGCCACTGCTGGCACTGCGCCACCGCCGCGGGCGAGAAGAGCAGGACCACCACGCCATCCTCCTGCAGGGTCCGACGCCGCTGGCCGTGGAACCAGGCCAGGGCCCCGTGCGCGCTCAGCTCGCGGCGGCTCCACAGGTCCACGGCCACTCTCAACGGCAGTTGGCTCAACGCAGACGCCAGGGCGCCCACCAAATGCTCATAGCCCGCTCCGTCGGCCGAGTGAAGGAGCAAGGCTGTGCGGGCCCTGGGGGCCGCTGTCAGGGAGGGCAGAGGCCATGAGGGTGAACCCGGACCTGCCTTCCCTCCATCCACTCGAGCCCAGCGTCACTCTTTGCGGCTGTCCCTGGGGAATTGGAACGGGGAAGCGCTCACCTTTCACGCGGTCCTTTTTTAGAAGGAGAAACAAGAAAAGAGCAGCGACCAAGAGTAGGCAGACCAGCCACACCAGGACCCAGCGCTTATGGATGTCTGGAATAGACAAGGGAGAATGGGCTAGTTAGAAACCTTATATCTTTCATTTCACTCTGCTTCACGAAGGAGGAAACTGAGGCCTGTAGATTTGAAGTGATTTGCCCAAAGTCCCAGTGTTAGAGCCTGTATACTGAGAGAGCTACACCTATGTGACCTGCCTCAGTTCTCGCCTGTGTTTAAATGTCAGCTGATATTGCCCCTTAAGCCTAGGATTGCAGGCCCTTAACCTTGCTTGACTTCAATAGCCTCCCAACTAGGCTCCCACTTTCTAACTTCGGCCCATTCATTCTATGAGTATCCACCAAGATCTGTTTAAAACAGCTTTATTCTAACCCTTGTGGAGGATGGTGTTGCTGGAAACATAAAATCCTGCATCCCTCCTGGGCCTCCCATCTTCCTCCCAAGACCCTCTAACCCTCTAACAGTACAGAAATGTACTTCACAGTCTTAACAATGCATCTTGACTCCCTTTACCTAGGTCAGACTTCACAGTGAGGCTGGGACCTTTCCCCTGAACCCTTCATCCCATCTAGGCCAGCTCCCCACTATGCTCATTCACTGCTTAGTGCTGTAAGGTCACACTTGCCAACATTCAACAGTTCCATCTTACTGCATGTTCTTGGCTATGTCCTTTTAGACTTGTGTTGAGGTTCCATCTTTTTGGTAATGCTGGGACACCCCCCCCCCCACTAAAGTGTGTTCTCCATAAAGCATGTGTGGAGGTCAGAGGACAGACAACTCAAAGCACTCTGTCCATATGGATCCCGGAGAACTCAGGTTGTCAGGTTTGGTGGCAAGTGCCTTTACTGGCTGAACCATCTTTCTGCCTCTTTGTGGTTTTTGAATGGATAAAGGAATACCACTGTGATCTATTTGAGGCAGGTAAGGCATGGCATATGTTGCCTCAGTCCCGTAGTCCCTGTCATCAGAGTCAGCTCCTGGTACACAGAAAGAGCAGTTCCTGTCATACTCACACTTGTCCATGGGGCATGCCCACAGCGCTCCCAGGCTATCATCATTCCACAGCTGCAAGACACAAGCACAATCCCCTGCTTGGTGTTCAACACCTAATAATTTCTGCACAGCTTGCTCAAATTCCTAGCCTCAGATATGCATATATCCCTGCCCAGAGCCGGCTCCTGCATGCACCTTTGCCCAAGGTGTGCCTAAGCTGAGTTCTATGCCAAGTGGGGCCTTGGAAGACAGTCTTCCTCGAAGCTCTTCCTAGAACCTAACACTGGGGTATGTATCACTTAGCTGATCTCTAGGTGGAAGTGGGCACCTGAGGGTCAAGAAGTATAAGCTCCTACCCTTTATGCACCCAGGGCTAGACACAAAGCAAGCAGAACAGGCAGGCCAGTACTGGTTTGAAGGAGCTTGCCTGTAGGCAGTAGGACAAGCCCTGTCACCAACTCACCTGCACACACTGGTGTGTTCGGAAGTCTTGCAGCAACTGCTCTCCAAGGTGAGCAGCTCTCTGTCAAGTCAAGGGAAGGGGCCTGTCACCTGAGGCAGCATGTAAGGTGCTGAGGTGGAGCTGGGAGACTTGGGAAGCCATTAGAAGGCATGGACAGACAGACATACACGACACACTATTCCCAGAAAGCAGTACTGGGCTTGGCAGAGTAGAGGGAAGTAGGAGAAATGAGCAGAGCATGGCTGAGACAGAGCTGGAAAGGCCTGGAGGGAGGTTCCTCACCGTGGAGGCATTGCTGGGCAGTGCTGTACAGCCACTGGGTTCCAAGGCACAGACTGATGTGTCGTTTAGGCCAGTTCTCATCTCCACTAACAGCATATCATCCTTTAAGGGCCCCAAGGAGTCTGGGAGGAGTGAGGCACCACTCTAATAAGACCCACTTGGGAGTTGCCACTTGCCTTCCTCCTGTCCCCTAGGAGCAGCTCCTCCATGGTTCACCCCACTGCAAGGGGCCCTGTGTGTGCCAGCCACCCTCGAGCACCACTCACCAGCCCACAAGCACTCTTGGAACTGTACCTTCTCCCAGCTGCTCACCTGCTTAGAAGGGGCCAGAGTTAGGATAACCAGGAAAAGCAAGGGCCGGAAAATCCACAAGGGAGGGAGCGGGCAAGAGGAAGCCCTTTACCCTGGACCTGAGGTTAGGCACATCTGCGTTCAAGCCTCAGGGTTACCCACCTTTCTCAGAGCAGGCCTTGTGAGGACACCTGTGCTAACGGAGCGGAGCGTACAGCCTTACAGCTCTTATGGTCTTGAGTAAGCACTTAAAACACCTGTTCCCCCTCATCTGCCACCTCAGAGGAGATCCATTCTTAGCCTCACTCGGTCACCCACATGCCTCACCTTTTACCACAGCATGGATTCCACTTTAACCTGTTCAGGTATACATATCGTTCACCTTTCTTCACTAGAAAAAGTTCTATGGTGGATGATAAGGGCAGTTGTTGGTTTTGTTCATTGACAGATCTGCCTCAAAATGGCTGGCACATAGTAAGATAGTCAATAAATCTGTTTTGTTTGGAAACCGTTTCAATCGTTAGTCTAGAATGACCTAGTATCCACTATACATCTCAGGCCAGGGTGGCCTCAAATTTAGGGCAGCATGTCCTCCTACCTCAGCCTCCCAAGTGCTAAAATGTAGGCTTGAACCACCATGCCCAACTATTGAATGATTGTTTTTACTTTTTAATTTAAAAATTATTTTATTTCTATTATTAATGTGTCTGTGCATGGTGTGTGTGATGGTGCATGAGTTCCAAGGAGTGTACATGGAGGCTGTAGCCTGGGGAGGAGAATTGGTGCAGGGTCCCACCCTCAACCCAATGCTTTTGATCACCATTCTGACCTGGACACAAAGGTTGGGGTGGCCTCTCACCGACTTGAACTCATGAGGCGTCTGTGGAAGGCAGGGAATGAGTGAGGTCATGGAGACCCTGGGGTCCCTTTTTCTCCATCCTGGGTCTGCCTTTGATCTCACATTCACAGTGACATTCTCCTGGAGCATTGGTGGCACAAGCAGCTGGCAGGGACCTTGGTCTGGTGCCTGCCAGCACAGTGCCACCTTGGCCAGCAGAGAGCATGGTGCATCTAGCTGCCATATCCCTGAGGACAGCACCTGCAGCCTGGCTACATGCCAAAGGTTCCGGTGTGCACGGGGATCTAAAGCAGAGGGCCAAGGTTACTAAACATGAATCAGCCTTCCCATGCTGACCCCTGCCACAGGAGATTCACTCACCTTCCCGGAAGGGGCAGAAACTGGTCCTAACAGAGTCTGGCTCCAAGGGCCACACCTGGGAAGGACAAAGGGGCTCTAAGTCAATGCAACCCAGCCAACCATCCGTGAGCATGTGTCAGACCCTGCCGAGTACTAGGACACATTCACTGAGGCAGGTTCCACAACCCTCACCAGGTTTCTCACCTCTCACAGAGCTTGTGAGATGGGAATATGGACTCTCTTTAAACACTGCCATGTACAGTTAGAACATCTCCTCTCAACTTTGGGGCATTTGTGTGTGTATTTGTTTTTCTATTTTTAATACAGGGTCTCACTATATAACTCTATCTGTCCTGGAACTCAGAGATCCACCTGCCTTTGCCTCCTGAAGGCTGGGATTAAAAGCGTGTACCATCATACTTGGCTTTTCGCTCACTTTTTAATGAGTGCCTACTATGTGTCTTAGCAGTCTTTGATTATTAATCTTGCTTGATTCACTTCACAACCATTTTGTGAATACTATGTATCAAATACTGCACTAGGTTTTTAAGAGCATCTGCTATGTGTTTAACTCTATGTTGTGAGAAAATACTCATTAAATATTCATTTATTCATTAAATGTTTAATTGAGAGCACATACTGAGTGGTGAGCATCAGACATGGCAATGCAGACAGTTAAATCACAG